TGGAGGTGTTTTTGTTCTTGGATGTAGGAGGGTGGTGAAGTTGTTTGTATACTTTGTTGACAAATCTCGTGGGGTAGTTGTTTTTCCGAAGTTCTCGCTTTATAATATCGACTTCCATCTTAAGTGACCTCTTTGTTGAGCAGACCGTTAGGGCGCGTCGAAAGAGCGCCGACACTATAGAGGATTTGTGAGTTGTAGGGTGGTCTGACGAGAAGTTTAGGTAGCGACCGGTGTGCGTTGCTTTCCTGTATACTTGGAAGGATAAATGGTTCCCTGTTTCATTCCACTGACACATCCAGAAATAGAAGGCACCCGTTAGACTCATGTTCAACCGTGAATTGAATGTCTGGATGGATGGGACTGAGATGTTTGTGAAGGCGATCGACTTTGCTGGACTTGGCAACACAGAAGCAATCGTCCACGTAACGTAGAAACAGAGTCGGTGTGGGAGAAAATGTGCTTAAGGCTTTTTGCTCGATGGCTTCCATTGTGAGGTTGGCTACAGTGACGGACACAGCGGCACCCATGACTGTGCCACTACTTTGCTTGTAGTAGCGACCAGCGAAAGAAAAGTAGGTATTTGTCAGGCACAGCTCTAGTAGCCGACATACCTCATTCCCCGAGAGGTGTGTTCTTTCAGGTAGATTCGTGTCGGCCTTGAGTGCCGTTCTGACAACAGACAGCGCGAGTCGAATGGGAATACTCGTGAAGAGAGATACCACATCAAATGAAACAAGGCACTCGTCGTCATTCAATTGCAGGTCCGAAGCGAGTTCGATGAAGTGGGCAGTGTTCTCGACATGTGTGTTGGTCTTCCCCATGAGTGGAAGAAACAGACGATGGAGATAGTTTGACAGCGCTCGTAATGGCGACGTTGTAAAGTCAACTATGGGACGAAGCGGAATGCCACACATGTGTATTTTTGGTAAGCAGTAGAACGCAGGATTCGATCCGTTTCGGCAGGTAAGACTAAGGTAGAGAGCCCGAAACTCCGGATATTTGTTGAAGATGGCCTAAAGTGCTTTGTTTAAGATTCTTTGAATGTTTGATGTCGGGTCTTTCGGTAGCATCATGTACGCTTTGGTGTTCAGAAGTGCGTGCACCTTCTCCTCATAGTCTGTGCGGTCCATCACCACTGTGACATTCCCTTTGTCAGCAGGAAGAATTACGATGCTGTTGTCTTCCTTTAGCTTCCTGAGGGCGCACCTTTCTTCTGTGCTACAGTTCAAATGCCTCCTTTGGTTTACCTTTGAAGGTACGCCAATGGCTTTCAAGCGAGCTTCTTCGCGGATGCGAGGGTCTAGTTTGTGTAAACGCTCCTTAACAGAAGCTGCCATAAGTGCGAGAAGATATGAACAGTAGTGAAGTTAAACTTCTTTCCTTTCGCCAAAACTAGTGTCTCGGTTGGAGAGAGTACCTTCGAAGAAAGGTTTTTGACGAAACCCTTGCTCAAAGTTTGGGGGGTGTTGGGCCAACCTTGGAGAGAGACAAGCTTCTTCTCGTGTTCCAGTCCTTTCCTCAAGGTGGCCGAGGAATCAGCAGACTTTGCAAATTCATTGATGGCCGGAAAAACCTCGGGCACACGGTGTTCAAGTTGCCTCCGTAAAAAGAAAAGATCAAGGTGTTTCCTTCGAAGTGTTTCGCGGCAATCTTGTGTTCTGGCGTCTAGTAGACGATGCTCGGCTTGGTCGATGATACGATGACCCTCAGCCGAATGAACTAACCTCTTTAGGCGTAGGCTCTTCGGTATCAAATAAAGATCCTTACAAGTCTTGTTGAATGTGAGGTGAGTCTTGAAAATGGAAACGGGAGCTTGTCAAGTGTACATATCGTTTGGCAAGTTGGACTACATTAGGGCCGTAGTCAGCGCATAATGACTTAAATGTAAACATTTCGGCGGAACTCCGCCTGGTTAGGTAAGTAATAAGAAAAAGTACTACGTAGACTCTAACCAATTTCTTCAATGTGCTCGACCTTTCGAAGCCACTTCGGCTCCTTGTTCAAGGGTGACTGTATCTTAGAACCAACTTCTGCTAAGTTACAATATGAAGTAAAAAGCGTACTGTTTAATTTTATGCAATCAAACTTGGTGAGGGGCGTTTTCTTGTTTTTCCATTTTTTGTGTTATAAAAAAGTAACTGAAAAGTAACGTCGTTACTTTTTAAAAGTAACTGTAACTGTAACGAGTTACTTTTTTGTTGCGGTAACTGTAACGGCAGCTTCGCTACTTTTTTTCTGAAAGTAACTGTAAGGAATTACTTTTTAAAAGTAACTTACCCAAGACTGAGAGTGATCGAAAATGTTCACTCTAATCTATAAGCACCTTCATTCTGAGATCAAATCCGACCTAAGATAGCGCTTACCCAAGTGAACATTTCCTTTTACAGGATCAACTTCCCTAACATGACTGTTGCGTTTTCTGTTTTTTTTTTTATTTATAACGTGTCGGTTGATTCAATTTGCAAATAAGTATCCTTTTTGGTAATTGATGCTTTTTAAATAAATAGAACAAATTAGCATCCCAAGCTCTCCTCGACAAGGCATCTACTTAATTGGTCACTTTCTGACGGTTTGCGTGCGTAATCGTCATAGTTTCGCCACGCGCCCCTGCGTACATTGTTTTGGTTCAGCCAAAAGACACATGAAATGCCTGTTCATCACATAAAAAAGATAATATTACACTTCTATATGTTTGAGAAGTTATTTATGTGTCAGGAATACACATCTATTCAAATTAGCTCCAAGAAATTTGTCTAAGGCCCTCCCAAATCACTTATACATGTTCATATTGAGGATAAAAACACCGGAACAGATTTGCAGAGCATCTTTCAGATAATTTGAAGGCGCATTTATTTATGATATATATCATTAAGATGATCGGCTCTTTATTTACGTTGTAAAATCTTCAGCCAGTAATAAAATATATTTTTATTATCATCTCTAAACTGGACTCCTTGAAGTTAACAACCGGCTGAGGCCGACTCGGGAGGACGATACCCGATAATACACGAGCTGATGAGCCTGCGGGAACATGTTTTTTTTTTTTCTCGGAATTTGGCGGTGTAAAACACCGATTTGCATGGTAGCCAAAACAGAATTCGCGCTCCCATGATAGCTAGGTAGAAAAATACACCACATGTGCAGAAAGTCCGAGACAATAAATGTTTTTTTTTAAAAAATAATCCCGTAAACAACGCCTCACTGCAAAAAGAACTTCATAGAGATCCATACAATGATATTTCTAATTATATGTCAAAACGAAGGTTCTTAGAATCCTAAAAAAAATCAGATTTGGACATCAGCTTGCAAGAGCTCGAAACTTCGCGAAATGCTACCACGGAAGACTAATGTTATAACGGGATTTACCTGCACTTGTTTTGTGTCCTCACTTCACAACCCTGTGCTTTATCATTTATGCGCTCTAACATTTCATTGGGCTGCCATATATTATCGCGGAAATGCTATATATACTGGACAAATTCACGGCTACATGTACTGCACAACGGAAGGGCGCCACGAGAGCGCACGACACGAGAGCGCCGACGGGAGAGCGCGCGACAGGAGAGCGCTGCGACACGAGAGCGCACGACGGGAGAGCGCCGCGACACCAGAGCGCACGACGGGAGAGCGCCGCGACACCAGAGCGCCTGCCATTAGAGCGCGCGCCACGAGAGCGTATGTGCGTGCCTTGTTTTCTCGAATCGAACGCTTTTTACGTCATTTTATTGGTTGAGGACGCAGACCTGTGGGAAGTTTAAAAAATACAATTGTACGGCTAAACGCCGTAAAATGTAACCAAACATTCCGCGGACATACCCTTTGCAATTACCGGACACACAGAAAAACAAAAAGGACAAGGTCATATTCCGTAAAACGTTTTGGTCCTGCTAAAAACGGGTTAGCTGCGTTAGAGACGTCTTCTTCTGTAGTTTTTTTTCGGCTTCATGGTATCCAAATTTTCCGCCTCACTTTCGCGTTTGCACATCATGATTAACTATCCCCAGCTCGCCTGGACATTAACTGTATTGTTTGAAGAACGTTTGACACTGAAAAATTGAATGCAGTTCATGAGAACGTGAACCCTAAGACCTTTTTCCCTTTCCACTTATCTCTGAACAAAGGGCTGCTTCTTTTCACAGGTTCGAAAATAACTTTGGAGAACAATGGAAAGACGATCTCTTCGTCGCACTAAACCGGAACGAAAGAAATACAAGCATTGGAGAGGACAACCTTTGTGTTCTTTCACTGGAAAGCGGGTTAAACGTTAAGGTTTAACCCGAATTTTCTAAGGAGGCACACGCGAAGTTCCGGGACGCGATTCTGGAGATACGGTGAAAGGGGTTACAACTTCCATGTCGGTCGGCCTTTGTTCATACGTAACAGAGGTCAAACTGTCCACCAATAACACCTATCGTTATTGGGAGAAACCCTTTCAAGGTTAATCAATCGTCAACCGTGGGTATAGAGGCGAATATAAAAGGGGAGCTGGGCACTGCGGGCGTTCGTGACGACTAAGTCGGATCTTCCAACGGAGTGCTGTTCAGGACGTGGAAATGCTATCGATCACGAAGTCCAAGAAAGATCATCCACTTTTGCAACACAATGGTTATTCCTATCGCCTGGATAGACTGAACGAGAACACCGGACAGAGGACATGGAGGTGCTCGAAAAAAAGCTGCAGCGGTCGAGCCACAACAGCGGGGTGGGACAGTGCACTGACCCTCGTCAAGGTAAGCAAACGGTTATTGTACCATAAAACTTCTGTCTCTAGAATTTTTGATTTGTCAGAACTCGATTATGCGATTGAGCTATTACGTACGCCGCCTTCAGTGTGCCATTTTTATAATAACATACTTTTAATATATCTCCACACTTGCGCAGACCACCGGCGAGCACCAGGGTCACCTGCCGAATCCCGATGTCTGTCGGGCAGAGGAAGTGATTGCTGCGGTCAAGGAGAAAGCCAGGACCACCGATTATCAACCGCGAATGATGATTGCGCAAGCTACCAGTGGCCTAACAAGTAAGCAGAGATATTTCACCAGGATTCTAACTAAACAAGTGCTTTAGATAATCGTGGTCGTCGTCATCGCAAGGAATCCTATAAATTTATAGACAACGACGTAAACTAAAAAGGATAAAAATAAAAGTTTGTTTTCTCACTCTCTCTCTCCAGCAGCCCCAAATACTTTCGTGGTGTTCCTAAGTGCAGAAAATTGACGATTTAATTACAGGTTCTGAGCGGCTGAAGCTTCCCTCGGTAAGCGCATTGGCCCGCTCAGCACAAAGGGCACGCCGCGCCTTAAACATGCCGCTGCCTGCTGCACAGCATATTCACGAGATCGACCTCCCCAGCTGGCTTGAATCGCTTCCAGACGGGCGATCGTTCTTGCTGTATGATTCTGGCGCACAAGACAAAGATCGTCTATTCATGTTTGCGACGGACGAGAACCTTCGACTCCTCAGCCAGTACGCTGACTGGTTCGCCGATGGCACTTTCGACGTCTCGCCGTCGCTCTTCCATCAGGTACGACGCACGCCTATGTTGCTCTACATATGTAAGACCTGGCGGCTTTAAATTTTTGTTCTAAAAATTTGTATGTGACTACAGTGCGACGCTTCCATCTCATCGTGTCGCTTCCAAAATAGTGTGCCCTTACTTTGCAGGTCTATACCATCCACGGACTTGTTCATGGCAAGGTGCTACCGCTAGTCTACTGCCTGATGACCAAACGGAGCCAGGAAGCCTACGGGCGCGTTTTCAGGACACTCAAGGAACTTTGCCCCCGACTGTCGCCTCAGACGTTAATGATGGATTTTGAAGTGGCGGCCAAGCGAGCTTTTCAGTCGGTGTTCCCGACAGCCAAAGTGACGGGCTGCTTCTTCCACCTAAAACAGTCGTTTGTTCGTCGGATGCAGGAGGAGCACCTCATCGTCAGGTAAATCAGTCAAAATAACAAGTAATTATTGACCTCTCAGGTATGAAATTTTCTACGCAGATATCGTGAGGACGGTGACTTCCGAAGAAGAGTGAGCATGATACCGGCACTGGCGTTTGTTCGACCCGGTGACATTACGCGAGGTAAAGGAAATTTTTAGTACTGGCGGGCAAGGCCTCGTGCGTTGCCAGCCTCGTTGTCATATCAACGTCGTGCAAGACTGATTTCCGTTACTTGTCTGGATTGGTTCTCGTTAAATCTGGTCTTAGTTTAAGAATACATGTACATTGCTTTTGTAATTATCAGCTTTTTGCGTTTGTTTGTGTCCAGGACTGGAAGAGCTCCAAGACGATGCTCCCTCAACAGACGACGGCCTCAACAAAATGTTCGATTACTTCGAGAGGACGTACGTGGGCTCCAGCATCGGAAGGAGCCGGTCGCGTAGGCCAGCACTTTTCCCGCATGACTTCTGGAGCTGCTACGAACGGATCACCGAAGGGCTCCCGAGGACCAACAACCACGTCGAGTCCTGGCACAATGCATTCCAGAAGTCCTTGGGGCTGCATCATCCGGACACGTACAAGCTAGTGGCCGCATTCCTAAGGGAGCAGAGCTTGACAGAGCAGAAGCTGGCAGATGTACTTCGCGGAGAGCCTCAAAGGAGCAGCAAGGCCACCTACATCCGCGTAGCAAAGAATCTGAGCAAGCTGGTTGAAGAGTACGACCAAAGGTGCATGCTAGAGTACCTCCGCGGTGTCGCGCAATCATTCAATCTTTGAAATTTTTGTTTAGTACTATGGAACGGAAATTGATAAACAACTATATTTCCGAAACTCTGTATCTTGCGTCTTCATTACTAGTTTGCGGAAATTGTATTTTTTAGACTTCCCGCAGGTCTGCGTGCTCAGCCAATAAAATGACGTAAGGCGTTCGATTCGAGAAAACAAGGCGCGCACATGCGCTCTCGTGACGCGCGCTCTAATGGCAGGCGCTCTCGAGTCGCGACGCTCTCCCGTCGTGCGCTCTGGTGTCGCGGCGCTCTCCCGTCGTGCGCTCTCGTGTCGCAGCGCTCTCCTGTCGCGCGCTCTCCCGTCTGCGCTCTTGTGTCGTGCGCTCTCGTGTCGTACAGCCCTGCACAACGTGCCGTCTCGACGTCACGTGACGTGGCATTACTTGACAGCATTTCTTCACACCATTACGTCACGTGTCCACGTTGCACATAATTAATCGTAGTGCAAATAAAGAAGTGACAAAAACACAAACAATTTTTATCATACATTGCAATTTTGTATATGACAATTTGATCCATGCTTTGAAATTTTATTACCAAACATTCAGTTTATGATACGAACAAAAAAAACATCCTGCGAAAGTTTTCGAACCGGTTACCATTATATATTTTTTTGGTTCGTTTCCGGTTCGGTTTCAAAATGTAGGAGAATATTTAAGTTCGGCTCAGTTCCGGTTCGGTTAAAAATAACGGTTCGGTTCGGCTCCAGTTCGACACCCTGATTCTATCGCCGTTATTCCTTAAGTTGTTCCCTTCATAAATCTTTATACGGGCTGTTCAAGCCACTTCCGGCCGCCCTGACAAAAGAGAGATAAACTTCCGGTTTCCCTATGTTTACCTTGTGTTTGAGTGGTTGTGTAAGAACTCTTGGCTATCCAGCGAGCAATCGCTTGAGAGATGCGCTCTAGAAATGCCCCAGTGTCGTGCTTTTAAGTTGCCGATGCGCACAGGCTTGAACAAAATGTCACAAGTGAAGCTTCTCGAGGCGAGGGACGGCGCAGACGCCACCGAGCTGACGAGGGCCGCCGAGCTTAGGTGATCGGAGGACGGCGGCGACGGTGCTCGCCTGCTTCGATGTGCTGCCGACAAATGGCGTAATGTGCGAAACGAGAGCAAGCGGCGAGGCAGCGACTCGACCGACCATCTTCCTACAACTGTAGGCGCCAACCGGGCGATTACGGCACGTAGAAAGGCGATCCGACATGGAACTGTGGGAGAGAAACCCTGAATACCAAAGCAAGCGTTAGAACATTTTTAATTACAGAGACTCGCGTCGCACTAAAGGAAGCATAATAAAATCTTTCGGGAGCTCGTCTGCTAACCTAACTCGGCGACCCTTGCGGCGAAGTTCAGCAGAGCGTATCGTCGGCGGCTCGTGGAGCCACGTGCCCATCACCGATGTCTTGCCATTAACGAAGTATAGTTGAACGCGTTTGTGGAACACTACGTTTTAAGTCGCTTTTAGGCATGTGGACCAGGCGGCTCTAATAGGTACTCGTGAAGATGCGCCCACGGTGCCTTCGGCATATTTGTCATTTCTTTGAGGAATCAGTCCGCGTTCTTTTCATTCAAAGAATCAGGAAGTTGTACCAATCCAGCATAAGTATACATTTCAGGCGGTACTACAATTGTTTTTTGGCGGTGAGACGTTCAATGTATGCGCCACTCACTGCCGGCCCTCAGAAACAGTAAAAAGCAATGGTTAACAGGGAGCACTATACTCCCCCTAAAGTTCTGCAATGAATGCATTTTGTGTACTTTTGAACTCCCTGTATAGTGACTGACGTCGCCCTACACATATAATTATTATCCCTTTACATGCAATGAAATACCGGCATTCGCAAGAACGCCGACGGACGAAGAATAAAGCGAAAAAAAGGAACATTATGAGATTGGCACTGTGTTTCTGAAGCTGGCAGCGACTGGAACACAAAACGTAACCCAAAATTCTTCATAATAAGCAAGTCATTGGTTTCGTAGTTCGCTACAAGCATACACAAAGTAATAAGCGTATTTGGTTCGACTCTGGGGCGGCGTAAATGTCTCAAAACATTAAGTAGTAAAATATGAATACACAATATTGAGATATCGCGTTGACGGACAATGGGACCATTTTAACGCTCTTTACGAGAGGCTTCCCTGTCGTAAATGATCATTCGCGCAAAGAGAGTAGCAGACAATATTGAGAAGAATATTCACAACTTTTATAAAATCGTTGGTGGCTAAAACGTCATGTTTGTCGAATCACGCGGAATATATTGAACGCGGAAAGAGTATACTTACACAATTGTTTGTGGTAGACTTAATTAGCAAATTTAATTTGCAGTCTAACAATCTGCGATGCTGAAGTCAAATAAACTTTTAAGAACACTGCGTAAAAAAAAAAAGAAAAAAAAAAGAAATTTGCATGGCTTTTTGTTAAACGAAGTTCGAGCCCCGTTTCTTCCGGAAAAAGCAACCCCGCGAATCCGGGAACCATTCCAAATGCCGGTAACTAGGTTGCCCCTTTTTGCACGAACGTAAGCCAACGGCGGTTCTGACCACACCGACCAAATGCCGTGCCAACCACCCGGCTCGGAGCAACTTCCGGTTCCAGTGCTCACCCTCCGCATCATGGGCCCCCTTCCGGTTCCTGTTCCGTTCGCTCGATACTCCCTGCCACATTGCAGCTCCCTGTCAAGTGCAAATGACTTCGATGGCGGGAGCGTTCAGCTCCGCTCCAGCGAACCTTGCCTGGGCCGGAGGAGAAATTGCCTGCCACACTGCTCTCCCCTCCACATATAATCACATCGTTTTTAGCAACGTAAATGTGGACGCAAAAAAAAAAAAAAAAATATATATATATATATATACTTATGACTAGAATACAAGCTTTGCGCCTTTACTGGGCAATAACAAAGGATTCCCCAGTGTGAGCGTTAAGCCGCTTGAGTTAAAAACACCTATAGGGTAGTGAGCAATTTAACGCTCAAGATTTATTTAAACAACATCGGGCACTACTTGTTGGCGAGAAAAGGCAAACTCGCAGGTATTTTGACCTCTCTAATGCCTGGGTATCATTTTTTCCTAAACCACTTGGAAAGCATGTCAATTCGGTCGATACAAACGCCTAATTGTGGAGGTAATATAAACGAAGACTTCTAAAACTGATCTTTCCAATGTGTCTGTGAGCATGGCGTTTACACGTGTAATGTCCCGTCCAGTCTCGCATTCAATATCTGGTTTTTGTAGACAGGTGTTTGGGAACAGCATTTGTCATTTTCACTTTAGATATCAATAAGCTGGCTCTACAAGGGCTGAGAGCGACAATTGACACTTGAGAGTTGCATTAGAGCGGTTAAATTACAGTGACTGGGAACACAATTTTGCTTTTCTTCTCGTTTTGGCCGGTAGTTCAACTAACGTATAAATATCGGGAAACCGTTTTTTTTTAGCAGAAGACAATAGTTTTTATGGATGTTCAATGGTTCGGCTAGCACGCAACATGTACTTTATGTTAAACATAATCAAATAAAACAGCGCAAAAAGGTCCAAAAGGAAGCGACAACCGGACAAGACAGAGCGCTGACTCGCAGCTATGTATTTTTACTGATAGACAAGGATAAAGAAAACACATACATTGTTACACGCGTTCACACGCACCACTTTTGCGCATTATATCTACTCATTACGGCACGCGCTGGACGTTCATTGCCAGTTTCGGGAATTCCAGCTTCTTTAAGTAATATCCTAGTGATCCTAGAAAGAGGCGAACCATTGGACACGCACGTGAATAAAGTATTGGAGACATTTGCGGAGTGTGTCTTTGTATGTGTGTGTGTGTGTGGATGGGGGGGGGGGGGGGAGGGGATTCCCTCATTTCACGTTTGAGGTTCCAGAAGAAGGAGTGCTCCAGTACCTCGACATTTCCATCTACCAAAGAGACACCTATGTCTGCTGGAAGTATAGTCGAAGATCTAAGAAAGGTATTCTTGACTAGAGGCCGGCCCACTGGAAAATTGTAAAGAGGGACATTTCGTTGTCCTGTCTAAGCTCGGCATAAAAAAATCCTGCTTCCACACTCTAGGGAGCAGCTTGAAGTTGGAAATGGACAGACTCCCCAAAAACTGAGCTATCCATCGACACTACTATCGGACGTGGCAGGCAGACAGCTGAAGAGAACAAAGGGTAGCCAGTCCACAAAACGTGGTGTGGAAAAAAAGCGACCAGAGGTCATACTGTATCTACACAGTTTCACATAGTTAAAAGAATGTTGGAAACCACAACGGAATTTTAGTGACTTTTTCAGCCCCATAAAAAACGAGTAAGATTTGTCCCATAGTTAACACGAAAGCAAAGGGAATCATAAAGCACACGTGCAGCATGAAGCCTCCCGAATCGTTTGTGCCACGTGTCACGGGCGTTGTTTACAGCATTCCCCTTTCGTGCGACCGTGCCTACGTTGACCAGGCGGGACGCTGCCTGGACAATAGACTCCGTGAACGCAGATACTCTCTCT